GTTTGAAGTTTTGTTTTTCTTTTCTCAGCTTGTCTTAGGGATGTGGTCTTGATGGTGGTTGCCAGTATATTTGTGTGCTCTGAAGTCATGGTTTGTTCCAGTTGCTCCTTGAGGTTGTCTATGGTATGCTGGTATTGTCTTATCTTAGTAATCTTTAGAGCAACCTGAAAGGAGGGACTGAAAGACCACACATTCTCTAAGGAGGTTTGTGCATTTGGAGCAGTGGTATGATTTGAAACTGAATTACTTACATCATATGGAGGCTAAATAGATAGCCAGTGACCACAAATTATGATTTAATCACTATCCATTTTTCTTCCACCTTAACATACACAGACCCTGCAATGCAGGCTTGGAAATGAGCCTTTAACAGTACAGGTGGTCCTCCTTTAGTGACCACAATTAGGACCAGCAACTCAGTAGTTAAGCAAAGTGGTCACTAAGTGAAACCATGACTGTGCTTATAATCTTACTTCAGCTTTCCTTTGCTTTACAGACTTGAGAAGATCATAAATGCAAGGATTGGTTGCAAAGTTATTTTTTCATCACTGTCATAACTGCAAACTGTCACTAAATAAGGCAGTTGCTAAATGAGGACTACCTATAACTTTTTTCTAGGCTGCCATTCTTTCATAGCATTTGGGGACTCTTGGTTCCTAAAATGTGGCCAATGTTTTTACTGTGTCTATAACTTTACAGACTAGGGGTGATAGGGATTGTATTCCAACAAATTCAGAGGTTTAGTTCAGAGACTGATACAAAGCCATCTTAAACAACTGTTAATACAACTCTGCATTGACTAAGGGTTCCAGTCTTTGAGCAAGCAGAAAAGTATGTCACCATAATTTGCCCTGTTCCAATGGCTGAGACTGTGCTCTAGCCGCTGGTGCCTGGTGCTGTCTTTATAGTTTATTGCAGGACAAGAAGTTAAGAGTAGTAACTCCCCATCTTTCCAGCATTACTTGCCTTGGTAAGAAAAGCAGCCACCAGTAACTGTGCTTAGTATGTGGTAGGGTGAGCTAAAGTGACAGTGGGTAGGTGTCTGGGATGGAGGCATTAGCTATCTCTTGCCCAACTATCAGGGTGCCAGTGCCAGGGATTTGCTATTAGGGCTATTTTTGGACATGGGTTTCATGATCTTCTTGAAGACCACCATTTGTATCCAAAGATGCCCAGCTTACAGGTTGATAGAGCAGATGAAGGGTTATGAGGAGCATCAGGTGATCTCCCTCCCACTGCAATCAGTGCCCCTCTACTACATCTGAGACCTGTTATTTAGGCTAAAAGGGTGAATAGACAGAACTTTTGCAAAATTTCACCCTATCTCCCAAATCCATAGGTACACAAGGAAATGTCAATGCTGGCAATGAGTGGCTATAGCTAGTAGCACCGAGAAGCAACCCATGGAGTAAGCACAGTAGTGCTGGAGTAAGCAAACAGAGCCTTTTCCAAAGTAATAAAAAGAGTAAAAAATATGGCCCCATGAAACCTTTTGTTGGCAGAAACAACAGAAACAAGTAATACACTTAATTATGACAGTATCAGCACAACACACAGCTGGCAGAAGTGAGCTCTGTTTCCTGGTTTAAATCAACTAGAGCACAAATCCATTTTTGTAACTCTAGTGCTCTTTCAAAAGACTATTAAACAAAAATACTTCCAGAAGACCACTAAACCTGTGCATATAAGAAGTCCATGTGGGGATCCAGGTGTCCAACTGAGCTTACAGCCCAAGCCAAAATGCCCATGGAGAGCAGTGCCCCACAACTGGACAGGATATAGCAGCCTAAAATGGCAAATGGGAGCTGAGCAGATCCTATCCCATGGCTGTGAGGTTTCATGGATCTTTGTACAACAAGCCCTATCTTGAAGGATGGGGAAATTCTACTTTAAAACTGGACCAACTAAAGACAAAATTGGGCTGCCGTCATGGTGGGCTGGGGATGAGCAAAGGTCATATCATGAGGACATGTCCTTTAAAAATGGTTAGTGAGGCATCCTTGTGCCAAAGTTAGCATGACACTTAGAAGAACCCTAAGTGGCCATGGTTTCCAAGAAACAAGCCATTGGTGACTGGTGGAGATAGCACAGAACAGAGAAGTTATACTTACAGCTTCTGATGCTAAAGATTGGGAGTGATTCTTTAATATTAAAGGTTGAAAGCTAACATTAAATAAAAAGTAAATGGTATAAAAGACGGCATGAGATAAAACAATTAAGTAATATATTTTTAAAAACCCTTCCCATATGAATTTCCCAGAAATGAAGTCAGTGCTTCATTTGTTTCTCTCTTTTCCTTCTTTTTAATTAGATGCTGAAATATCCTACTACTATCCCTTAAGAGAAGACCACAACCCAGTATCTCTAGGTTGGGTGAAATAGAAGCAAATCCCTTAATCTGTTAAAATTGATATTTTCTGGAAGATCAAACAGTGGGCTTCCCAGCTAAACCAGAATTTAGCCCATTCTATAATTGAAAACTTTGCAACTGTCTCTTCACCTCAAGCACTCAAATAGTTCATATCAGCTGATCATGATCAGTGATATCCTAATTGGTTCTTTTCTGAGGAGTGAGCATCTCCAAAAGAGAAGATTAGTTGGAGAGATTGTCTTGACAAAGATGGTACGCCCAAAGAGCTGTTCCTCTCCAGTTTCACCCGGAGCTTGTTATCCTTAATGAAACTGAGCACTTACAGAATATGCTGCTTGTCCCCTTAGGATGACCACTTCCATTGCCAAAGGGTGGGCATGTGGAATGCATGTCTCTATGCATGAGTGTGTCCGAGAGAATTCTCTGCAAGAATTGTTTTTACTTAATTAGCTCTTTTTCCACTGCCCCCACCCCCAATCCGTGAAGCATAAATTAAGTAGGTGACTCTGTCTCCCTCTCCAGTTACAGTTCTGAGTCAATGCATTCATATAATCTTGGATAGGAGTTAAGCACTGGAACCCACCTTGCAGGAAGGATGAATGCTCTCACTTCCAAGTAATTTGCAAATGAAGTTTGTGTGACATCTTGCATCTACAGTAGTAGAACTTGGCAGTAAGGTATTTGCAGTAGGGAAAGGGAGGATAGGAGACATGGCCCACCGTCTGGCCCACTCTTCTTCTAAAGTGATTTCAGAATAAAATTAATTGTTTGTCAAGGATTTGGTTCTCTCTCTCTCTCTCTCTCTCTCCCCATATATATATGAGTGATACAATTAGATTGATAGGTAGCGTTTCATAGTGGGATTCTAGTGATGCCTACTTGTTCCTATCCTTCTCTTCTTAGGGTTAGATATTCCGATGTGATTTTGCAGCTAAATTTCTAGACTTCAACAGGTCCCAGAATAAAGAATCAAATCAGAAATTGATGCCAAAAACAGTTGGATGTTAGGCTTTCTTAGAGAAGAACTTTTGGAGGGTCCTTGCTGCTTTGAAGTTCTGGCAGCAAATGAAAGGCACAAAGTGAGGAGGGTGTGTGTTTTAGAAGGAATAAATGGAACTATGGAATTAATTTAATTCTTCAGTAGCTACATTAGAGCCTAGAAGGACAATTGAAAACATTTGTCTACCTTGCTTTAAGCTTTTCCAATCTAGTTGTAACATAAAGGAGAATTTTCAATATTTTATATGTTAGTATTGCCTACATTTTTTTTTAATCCTGCCTTTATTATTTTTATAAAAGACTCAAGGTGGCGAATATGCCTAACACTCCTTCCTCCTCCTATTTTCCCCACAACAACAAACCTCTGAGGTGGGCTGGGCTGAGAGAGAGTGATCGGCCCAAAGTCACCCAGCCGGGTTTCATGCCTAAGGTGGGACTAGAACTCACATTCTCTTGCTTTCTAGCCTGGTGCCTTAACCACATTCATCAAGATTTGCTACAGATAGTAATATTGTTTCAGCCAATATCCATGCATCTCCAAGAGGAACGACCACCATGTAGGTCTGTCTCACCAAACAAGTTGTACCAAACAAATTACTTGCATGGAAATAGCCACTGTGATCTCTGGTAGCCATCACAGTATTTATTGTTCTGATATATAGCTGTTATTGTTACTATAGAGCAGGAAATGAAGTCTCTAACTCTCAAGCTCAGAAATATCCCATAGTTTAGCCAGCATGCTGGCTGGGGAATTCTGGAAGTTGAAGTCCACACATCTTCAAGTTGCCAAGGTTGGGAAACACTGATTAGATAGTCAGTACAGTCCATCACCTAATCTGAAACTGTAGTAGAATTTTTATTCCCTTGGTGGCGGCAGTGGTTCAGGAAACAAGACTGGGCCTTGGCTTATGGAGTTTGCAGTCCAAGCCTGTTTTAAAAGTAACAGGAATGTCCTATGTGGCTGGAGTAATTTAAAGTGGCTTTGTGTTGCCTACAGTAACAAACAACCATTACCAAGCCAAATAAAAACCACTTGGCCTCATCTTTAATTTGGGCATAACTTGAAGGCAGTGAAGAAAATAGGGAAAGCTTAACCTAAAAGCGAGAGCTTGCTGGATGGGCATCCACATCCAGGTTTTGAATGCTCACAGTCTGCTAATCCTACTCATATACCTGATAAGTGAGGAATACTTCTTAATGTCGACTTGGTAAGGACCATCTTCTCTGTTAAGGTGCTGTTGCTTGATGGCTCTAAGGGCCCTTTTTCATTCACAAAAAGGCACCCCCAGTTCCTTGTCTTTCTGCCTGTCAGCCAGCGTGTCCAATTCTTCTCCTTCTAAATGTTTCCACAACTATCCCACCAAAAAGCTAAAGCAACCAGTGAGGTTAGGTTTCTTTTTTTGCCCGAACCTTTCAGCTGTAATAACTTTGAATCTAATCCTGATGCATAACTCCTTACTTGGCCTGCTCCTTTCCTCACCTGTTGACAGGTATTTTTTGGCAAGTTACCTTTGATTTAGCTGTAACAACATCCCAGTACTTAAAAAGGTTCTTGGCCTATAATCCTTTCAGAAGCCCCTATCAGTTTGTAGGGTAACTAGAGAAGGGTTTTTTCCTTCCCCCATGATGTCTTTTCTTGCTCACACAACAAATAAAGCTCAGATTAGCAATCACAGCATCTCTCCTCTCTGAAAACCTGGTAATTTCTTTGAACCAAATTTCCTGCAAGGATAGCCTGACATGCCGCTTCTTTATCTGACAGCTTGCTAGGCCTTTTATTTGAAAAGATGATGGCAAAAATGTGCTACTCTGAAATAAATTTGCATTTGCTTTACACAATATTAACTGATTTAAAAAGTGACAGATTTCTAGAGATTAAGCTCTAG